TGTGTGTGTGTGTGTAGTAAAAGTATTATATAGATATATTATTAAAAAACTTAATATATGATATATATATAAGGTATATATGGCTTTCTTTTTTTCTACACCTTACTGTGGTATAATTTTCTTTTGTTGTGGTACTGTTATTGGTAGTATAGTACAATACTATTAATACCTATTTCTTTGTATTTTTGTCCCTGTAGGAGCATGTGGGCTCAGCCGCGTCCTTCAACTTGGTGGGAAGTTGTTAACAGGTCCTGGGATGAAACAGATTGGCAAAGAAACTTCAGGATGACAAAAACCTCATTTCTGCATCTTTGTGACATCCTCCGACCACATTTGACACGCCAGCACACTCAATTTCGTAGTCCACTTCCTGTTGAGCTGCGGGTTGCAATATGTCTGTGGAGGCTTGCAACAAATCTGGAGTATCGCTCCATCTCCCACCTGTTCGGTGTGGGTGTGTCTACAGCCTGTAGTATCACACAACAGGTTGTAACTGCTATTAATGTTTTAATGAAACCTCTGTATATAAAACCCCCTTCTGATGCAGAGCTTATGGTGATCGTCCAGAGTTTCAAGACTCGATGGAAGCTACTCCAGGTTGCAGGTGCGATTGATGGTACCCACATAGGTATTATTGCACCAGCTGAGAATCCTGCTGACTATTATAACAGGAAAAACTTCTACTCAGTTATTCTGCAAGGCGTGGTAGATAAAAAATGAAATTTTTGGGATATTAATGTGGGCTGGCCAGGAAAAGTTCATGATGCAAGGGTTTTGGCCAACTCTTCCTTGTACAGTAGGGGTGAAAATGGGACACTGTTCCCAGGCTGGATAGAAAGGTTGAACAATGTGGATGTACCTCTACACATTCTCGGCGATGCTGCATACCCACTACTGCCTTGGCTGCTGAAACCTTTTCCTGAGGGGAGAGGTTTAACACAAAAACAGACAAACTTCAACTATAGAGTCAGTCAGGCTAGAATGACAGTTGAAAGGGCCTTTGGACGTTTGAAGGGCCGCTGGAGGTGCCTTCTCAAGAGGTGTGATGCACACATTTCCTTTGTGAGCCACATAATATCAGCCTGTTGTATTTTTCATAATTTCTGTGAAACAGCAAATGAGGAGTGGACGGATGAAGAGCCACAAGATTACGTGGATGACTCTGTCGATCCAGAAATTGGGCTTTAAGCTAACAATGGTGGTGGGGGGGGGGGAATTAGGGATGCTCTGTGTGCATACTTGGCACAGTAATGATGTAGTAAATGAATCTTATTTATTTAACATGATTTTGTGATATTGAATTTCAAAATATATTTATTTTGTAATCTGCATCTGACAGGTGTTTATATGCTGCAGTTTAGCAAGAAAAAGACAAACTTGTTCATACTTTTTTTTAATGTAACAAATAATACTTCAACATTGTAACAAATAAAGGTCCGTTATTGAACATTGAACAGTTTTGTGCACATTCTTCTGAACAATTTAACATAATATGTACTACTGACTAACATAAATATGACTTGTTCAAACTGTTTATACAGATAATACACAAAAAAAAAAAGATTCAAAATACTTCACAGTGATATTTTCACGTTTACTAGCTACAGATCAAAGATAATTTTGTTGACATCACTGATAACACAAGATGTTGAAGGCTGAGATGTGTCTGCTATGTATTGCTCCTGTGGGGTTTGGGCTGGTGCAGGTGCAGTGTGGTGGGTTGGTATATTGTGCTGGTGGTGAGTATGTGCGGAGGGCTGGTGAGAGGATGCAGTGGGCCACAATGGGGGCATGACTGGAGTAGGAGGCATCCACTGCTGTGTAGTAGGTGGTGTCATGGTTTGGGGCATTGCAGCATGAAGGAAAGTAGACATCATCTGTAAATAACATCTGGCTGTTGGCCCTCTGCTGCTCTTGGATCTGGCTGTTGGCCCTCAGCTGCTCTTGCATTAACTGGAAATGTCTTTCTTCAGCTTGCTGTTGCATTTTTAAGAAGTTCTCAAAAGATGCAGACTCCTGCTTCATTCTTTTGCATTCATCCTCATCCCTTTTCCTCTGATCATCCAGGTAGCTCTCTAACAATTTCTCCAACCTGTCAGCCTTTGTCTTTTTGTTTCTTTTCTGAGCCCCAGGTACAGCCAGCCTTGGTTGGCCACTTTCTTCATCCACCTGGGAGCTTGTGGTGGCTGCCTCTTCAATTTCACAGTCAGTGTCACGTTTATCTGCATGATTAAAATGTTACATACATGTTAACACAGTTATACACTGGAATACATATTTGCTTATGTATTTATAATAAAATGTGGCAAATAAACACAAACTGGCAAGATGTAACTGCTCATTTTAAAATGAAACACAATGTCAATATTGAAATAGTTCTGCTCAAGCATTATTAAATAGCATTGTAGTGAACTAGGCCTCAGGTCCAATTTGGCCTTGAGGGGCCTTCCTGGAACAAGAACTGTATTTCATTGATTTGAGTCCAGAAACACAAAATCAAGTCCATCCAGAAGACTTTCTAAGTGTCCTGCACTGATCAATTGAAAGAACACTCTCTTTTCTATTATCATTACTATTTTACAAATGTTTTGATAATCAAAATTGTGTTTAGTTCAAACCATTTTCAAATGTTGAAGTGAACTACTCATTTTTAAATCAACTGTGAAACAGTAATAATGACTTTTAATCCTCATGCAAAGTAGAAATCACGTTAAGGTCTGTTACAGAGTAATTATGCATTTTCTGATTTTCTGTCTTTGAATGAGCAAGTGTAAGTTGGTCAAAGGTCAAGTTTCGGTCAACTGCAAGTTTACTGAAAAAGAAATGTCATGTTTAACTTTTACAGAAAGATATTAGAGAATTGACTCCACGAAGTCTGAGTTCTTCATAACAATCTTCTGTCTGTTCTTAAACACTTAATCTTTTTCCTTGACTTTTTAATAACACCTTACATCACAAAAACACACCTCTGTTTGGTCCAACCGACCAATCAGAAAGTCCTCAAATGAACCGGAAGTGACCCTTTTTAAAAGGTGCAACACTTCCTAGTTCACAGAGGTTCCAGCTCCAGTCAAGTTCTGGAGAGCTCAGTAGTTCTGAGAAGTTCTCGGCAGTTCTGGGAAGAACGCTGAGGAGAACGCTGAGAGAATGCTGTGAGTTGGTTCCGAGAGCAGCAGAGTTCAGAATGCTGGAATGCAGAATGCTCAGGACATCTGCAACTAAGCTGGACGAGAGAAGTTCAGAGGAACTATGAAGTCTGTTCTGGACGATCTCACGACTCCTGAGGTTTAGCTGTTCTTACGGAGACGCTGGAAGAGTTGAAAAGAAAGCTCTACACCAACGCTGAAACTATCATCTGCAAAGGTAAAGAGTCGATCTCAACCAAAGTGTACCGTTGGGTTAAGCTGGTCCAAAGGAGCGTGTTGTTCTGGTTATAACAGACAAATTCCCTCACCCATCTCTCTCAACTTAAACTTCAATTTCCATCTTTAAACTCTTCTTTTGCTAGAAATTAATCCAGATATTTTTAGAAATGTCTGTGGTGAAGCAACGGAAAATCATGGCCGTATGGTTTTCCTGATTGTAAAGCTGATTAATTATGTTGTTATTTTCATGTTTGACAAATTAATGTAAATGTGTGATGTTAAACTTGATTCTGTAAATAAATGACCACGTTCATTTTGATGGGTCAAAGAAAATTAACGTCTCACGATACATTTTTTAAGAATTCAATGTACAACATTATACAGTCCAGAAAAATGAAAGAATCCGTTTAATTTATGAATATATACAGCATATGTTCATCTACAGTATAGTCACCCACTTACCACTTTTTTCTGAGTCCTGAGCCATCTCTGTGGTTTCGGAGTCGCTCTGTGCCAGGGTGGATGGCGGTGGAGTCTCTGATTGGTAGGACTCCAGCACATGTTGTGGGCTGCTCGTGGGTCGAGTGCCAAGAACAACATCTAGTTCATCGTACCAAGGAAACTTGTCCTTCACGTCTCCTGAACTGCCACTTTTCCTGAGCATGTCACGTACTTTTATGTATTGTTGGCAAAGTTTTTTGACCTTGTTGCGGCACTGTTCAACTGTGTGCTGGAATCCTAACTTCTCCAATTTCAAACAGATTAGCCTGGAAACCTCATTGTTCTTGTGAGTGTTCACAAGTAACTGCAAAATAATTTTATCTGAAGACTTGTATGAGAGCCTTTACCTCCTTGTCACTCCACGTCTGACCACGAGCCATTTCCTCTCGCTAATGTTAACGCGCATTTGTTTTGGTGGTATTTACCCAGAATGCCCTGCGTTGTAGGACACTTCCTGTTGTTGTTGTAGTTCCACTTACTGCTGGCGGAGCAGTGCCTGGTCTGTTTGCATTCACACTGCACTCGAACCGCGCTGGAGTTCGCTTCTACCGGACCGAGACCTAGGTTTTAGCCCGGGCCAGAGTTTGCCTTTGTGTTCCGTGACAGAGGTCGATGGTGCGTTCACACCTCCCTAAACGAACCGGACTTTCTAGGAAAACGAGCTAGAGTTCGATTAAAGTGGACTAAACAGGGCTGATGTGAATGCACCCTTAGGCAGACCAGAGTTCACTTTTTTGGTCTGCATCAGAGTTCGATTGCACAGTCACACCTCCCCAAACGAACCGGACTTTCTATGCAAACAGACCAGAGTTTGATTAAAGCGGACTAAACAGGGGTGGTGTGAATGCACCCTTAAACTTTCTCTAGATCACTGAGTCTGGTACTATGTTCATGCTAATTCAGACATTCATGCATGAGAATGAGCCATCTCTCTTGTGAGCCAAGCAAACAAAGACCACAACACATTTCCGATGGGAGGGCACGAGATTAATCAATATGTGAATTTATCTATGGAGCTTCTTCTGCAGCTTGAAGCTTGGAACTCTTCACTCTAGTTGAAAAAACTGAAAACGCTTCCCAGATGGGAAGCAAAATAGCTTCAACTACAGAAATGAAGTCTAGATGTTCTGTTTGTAAAACCTTTGGGATTTACCAGCTCTTGGATGACTAAGAATGTACACCAGCACACCCTTCAATACCCCATCCCTGTCTTCTCTGCTGAAACCCCATCCTGTGTCAAGTCATGCGTCTGTGGAGAGGCTGTTTAGCCGAGAAGTACCGACTAGATATACTGTAAATTTCTCTGTATAAGTCACCGTTTTTTGTATAAATTAGTGTGCCTGCAACTTTTACAGCTGTAGTATGTCGGTGCAGCTTTCTGCAGACACACTACTTAATTAATTATTCTTAAGCTAGTTCAAGCACAAAGAATATTAATTGTTTAATTAACAATGGATTCTTTCTTTTTCGAGTTAAATTTCTGCCATGTGACCAAGATAACTTGAGTGGAGTGTATAATTAGTGGCATGAGATGCCATTTATCTTTGACCCATCAGAATAAATGCGGTCATTTATTTAACAGAATCAAAATTTAACATCAAAACATGTACACATTGATTTGCCGATCTGTTTCTGATTAATAAACTTAGCACGTTCAAATAACAAGACAACAGAGGATTACTGATGGAGAATAATTAATCTCTGAAGGCATTTAGCTTGATTTACTGGCGAAGAGGTTTACAGAGAAGATATATTTAGATTTAAAGAGGAGGATTTAGATGGAGGAAGGAACATGTGTTGACCAGGAATGACACCCTTCTTTCGACCCCAGCTCAGCCCTCGGTACACTCAGTGCGTGACGACTCGTTACCTTTGCAGAAGATAAATCAGCTCCGGTACAGAGGTCCATTTCACGCTTCTTTCAGCGTCTCAGGTCAGAGTGGCTGGGAATTGTCAGAAGTCGTGACGAAGTACTCAGTTCAACAGAATAAGAACTTCCTTAGAAGGAATCTTCATTAGAAGTTGTAGGGCGTTACGCCCGGGTGAGTTCACAGCGAGGCATGCTGTGACTCTGCTGGAATGGACGAACCCTTGGCTCATGGTCCAATTCCATACTCCAAAACAGACTTTCAGTAAGAACTGAAAGTTCCTGTACGACTCGCTGTAAGACTGAGTTTTCCAGTAAGACTGAGTCTCATCTTAGACTGAAAGTTCTAGGAAGACTGAATAGTTCCAAGAAGTGTTGACTTTTAAAGGGTATCCACTTCCTGTCACTTGGTACTTCCTGATTGGTTGACACAACCAGCAGGGGTGGAGTTTTAGTGATGTCAGAGGGTTATTAGGAGTCACAGACAGCAGAAATGTTTTTAAGAACGGTTAGTACAGACAGGAAAATATTTTGAAGAAGTGAGAGGTGCCCATTTCTTATTTACTGTCTGAGAGTTTTAAAACAAGGCACTTCGTTCTCATAACTTGTTCTCTGACTTTTGACTGACGTCAAATCCACTCCTCATTCAGACAGAAGAGTAAAATGCACACTTACTTCGTAAATAGACATTTAACTTGTATGAACTACGTCTAATGAGGTTTAAAAATCATTAATACTGTTTCACAGTTGATTTAAATGAGTAGTTTACTTCAACATTAGAAATGGTATGAACTAAACACACTTTTGTTTATCAAGATATTGTAAAATAGTAATGATAATATAAAAAGAAAAGTGTTCTTTCAATTGATTAATTCAGGATACAATTAAATAGTCTCTTGATGAGATAATTTGTATTTCTGGATTAAAATCAATGAAATAACAGTTCCTGGCCCCTGAAGGTCTTCAGAGACAGATTGATGTAGGAGGTCTAGTTCACTACACAGCAAAGCAACATATATATTTTTTTTTCTCCATATTTATAATCCAAGTTTTGGCTGCGATCTGACGATTTCATTCATTCTGACATGGAAAATATTGAACACTACCATTTTCAGCCACTAGAGGGCCCTCGACTAATATGACAAACCAAGTGTCAAGTCAAGTCAAGTCAAGTCAGATTTATTTATAGAGCACATTTAAAACAGAAACTGTTACCAAAGTGCTTAACAAAAATATCACATCATCAGATAAAAAGTAGCAAGATATATTTACAGCACATGGAATAAAAATATAAAACCAAAACAATTAGAAACAATGAAATACTAAATCAGATCACGTTGTGTCAAAAGTCAAGGAAATAATAACAAAAAGCATAAACTCAGTCAGAAACAAAGTGCCTCATTAATAGGTAAAAGTGGCTATTAATGAGACATTTGGCTTGCCATACTAAGCCACCTTCATCTCGCTCTGGAACTCCTGGAGCAAACGTCAAATCAGATGCATTTTTCCACGTCACCCAGGCGAAATGCAGCTGATTTGACCGTCAAAGTGCATTTATTAAGGAAACGTTCAACTGAGACACACCTTTACTATAATGTCGAGCAAACAAATAATTGTTTTTAAGTGTTAATCTTGTTAAATTCTTGTTAAAGTCCTCCCGTGCATGCCCCAGAGGCCGCCATTTGACATTTCCAGGTTGTCAGCGGTGATGCATAACAAATGCGACGCGTCAGCGGTGACGCATAATAGATGCGACTTATACGGCAAAGCGACGTATTTATGTTTTTTTTCCTCTTTATTAGACATATTTGGACTGATGCGACTTATATGGTGGCAAGTACAGTAGTCAGGCTCACCTTCATGCACATCATGGGCTCTAGAATCAATCTCCTTGAGAGGGGCAGGACTCCCCTCTGGAGTTGGACGTGTTCTGAGGATGTCTGAAAGGAGACTCCAGGGAAGACCCCAAAAACTCTGGAAAGACTGTCTCTCTGCTGGCCTGGGAATGTCTTGGAGTTTTCCAGGTGAGATGGAGGAGGTGGATGTGGAAAGAGATGGCTGGACCTCCCTACTGAAACTGCTTCCCCCGAGACCTGAGTCCAGAACAAACAAACTGAAGATGATGGATGGCTGGATGGATGGATGGATGGATGGATGGATGGATGCCCAGTCATTTCCATCTTATTTTCACCTTCATGCATGTGACTAAAACTCTTGTTATCCAGTCAAAAAAAAAGGTCACATCTTTCACTGTGAAGGGAATTAACTGAATCTGTGAGAACCTGGTCTCAAAGAGCATCTTGTGTAGTTTAAATCCCTCTTTACATGAGATTGATCTTTGAACAACGTTAGTGTTTTTTCAATTTTTTTTCAATTTTTTTTTTATAACATTAAAAAAAAACATCTCTAAATTAAAGTTTGCAGCAGTGTCCATGCCAGGCAGGGTTGCCAGTTAGGAAATGAAGCTGTATTGTACAGCCATTTTCAAATTAGGGGGAGGGGGAAATTAGAGGGGAAATATTATAAGATGAGGTGTGTTGTTAATGTGCACAGAAAAGGAGGCAGTCTGAAAATGGTTATAATCATATATCACCACTAGTGCTGGACTTCAATGAGATACACATGCAGTCCCAGCATGAGAAACAAAGCATCCAAACCAGTGAATTCAAGAACCTTTGTTTGGACCGACGATGAGGTGGATCTGACGCCATAAAGGCTGAGCAGCATAAACACAACTTTACTGTTTACTCTTCATCGGCTCATACAAGAGGAGAAACAAAAAATGACTGCAGCTGCAGCGATTTCACACCTCTGCAGGGGACTCGCAAAAACCTTCACACTGAGACCTGGATGCTAAACCCTTCAGTTTCAGAGGAAGTGAAAGCTGTTGCTGTGCTCACAAACAGCCGAACCTCAGCAGAAAAGCTACAGTTTCTTTCAAAATGGGCATTTTGTAAACTGGGACTCAAACATTGTATCTCTGCACTCTCCAGGAGAGAGCCCTCCGAGTGGGAAGCAAAATATTTTCAAATACTGAACAGAAGTTCAGCTGGTTTGTTTCTTTTCTTTACTGTTTTGGGTCTCTGAAAAAGAAAACAAAATCTTTGTCAGAATTTTTTTATTTTATTTTTTATGTTATTATAAAACATCATTTTCTGCAAGAGCAATAATCTGGTTTGAGCAAAGCATTTGCATGTTTGGTGAATGATAGCAACAACAAAACAAGTCATCACATGAACTGCAAAAATAACTGAATTATTTGTGTTTTCCAATAGCAATGGTCTGTGGCCACCATCTTGAAGTGTGTTGGCTCACAAAGATGAAAAGTTGTTGATTTTCAATAATTAATTTCTGAAAGTTCAGTTGAAATCTGTTCACTGGTTCATGAAATATTTTGCTAACAGGCAATGTTGACTCCAAATCAAGGTTCAAGGTTCTTTATTGTCATTCAGATCACATGTGGTACATGAGGTGGAGCGAAACTGGTCCCATTTACACCCAAAAAATTAATAC